TCTCTCTCTCTCTCTCTCCTTCCTTCCTTCCTTCTGATAATTATTTACTTCATACCACCTGCCAAATACGGAAGTAAAAAGAAATCAAATACACATGTTGTAACAATTTTCCTTGGAGTGGTTCCCCCTCTTTAGTTTAGTTTTTTTCCCCCTTCTTCTTCTTCTTCAAAAAAAAAAAAACAATTAGAGAACTAACAGCTCAGCATCATGGTCTGTAGTCAGGAGCCTCCTACTCGGCTGTCAGAAGCATCCTACTGTCTCCAAAATATTTTTTATTGTTCTATTTTAACAAACAAGACAATGGAACTTATTTAGCTCCGTATTTCGTGTTATCAAGTTTCACTTACTGTACAATGTGCTTAAATGTCCTCTTCAAGAGATGTTGTTGTTGGTTGCTGGTGGCTCTTGTCTATAATCCTAGCTACTCAAGAGACTGAGATCTGAGGATCACAGTTCAAAGCCAGCCTGGGTAGGGAAGTCTATGGGAGTCTGATCTCCAATTCACCAGAACACCAAAAATGCTGCTATGGCTCAAATTGGTGGAGCACTAGCCTTGAGCAAAAGAGCTCACAGATAGTGCCTATGCTGTGAGTTCAAGCCCCATGGCCAATGAAAAACAGAAAAAAAAAGATATATTCTTCCAAAATTATCTTTAAGATGGCAGCTGTATTTAAAACTCATTATTACGGGAAGCGTTTTAGTTTAGTTACTATTGTGTCCTAAAAACAGTCTCATTCCTCAAAATAAACCCTCAAAATTCGAAACTAACTTTTTCTTTTCTCTTTTTTCTTTTTGAGATTCTGGAATTTGAATCCAGATGTTTGCTAAGCAAACATATTACCACTTGTACCACATCCATAGCCCCCAATAATTTTATACAATAACAAATTCAGTCATTTATCCTAATGGGTAATGTTTAGAAATAGCTCAATACAGAAGAATGTTGTCTCATAATGTCTTTAGGAGGCGTTAAACTAGGGCAGTAATTGTAGACTAAGAAATTTTGATTAATAGAGCAGATCTTTTTCTTTTTCTTTTTTTTTTTGAGGGGGTCTGGTCGTGAGCCTGAACTCTGGGCCTGGGCACTGTCCCTCAGCTCTTCAGCTCAAGGCTAGCGCTCTACCATTTGAGCCACAGAACCACTTTCGGCTTTTTTTTTCTGCTTATGTGGTGCTGAGGAATCGAAAACAGGGCCTCATGCATGCAAGGCAAGCACTCTACCACTGAGCCACCTTCCCAGCCCTAATCTTTTTCTTTTAAGAGATTCATTATATATATATACTATTGTTCATTTGAATATTTGGTGGGCAATGGGAGGATATTTTACCTATTTGTAAGAGGTCACAGAGTTAAATAGTTGTGAAATGTTAAGGATTAAGTTTGGAAAGTACACATGTAGTCCTAAAGGCTCCAACTGTCTATGGGGGGGACTCATGGGAGAGACAAATGCTACTGTGTGAGGCTGTTGCACAGAATTGCTAATTGTTCATTGTTCCTTAATCATTTTGTGACCAATGACACCTCTCAGATATAAAGCCCTCACTTGGTACCTGAAAAGTGAGTCTGATATCTCTATGCTAGAACTAAGAAGACACACACACAGAAAACATGTGAGTTTTCTCAAGAGAAACAGCAGCGTCTGCCACTTATTTTATATTTATTCAAGGCCTGGCTCTGCAGAGATGGTTATGTAGATCCAATCATTTAAACTCATGTTAGGCCTGGGAGGTATGTTTTGTTGTTAAGAAAAGAGGGGATAACATCTTGTACATCTCATTGTTGCAATGGGTCCACCTGTATCCCTATTTAAACAATTTGTTTTTTCTCTTCCTATTTCACAATAAAAAAAATTTCCTCAAATCAGCACTTTGGAATTTATAAATTAGCCCACAAGAAAAAAAAGAAAAGAAAAGGGGAGGGGAGGAGATGGGAGGGCAGGGATGGTAAGTGGAAACAAAGGAGGAGGCAACAATGCTTGATAAGAAATGTACTCATTACCTTGCTCATGTAATTGTAACCCCTCTGTATGGTATTTTTACAATAAAAAACTTAAAAAAAAGAGGGGAACGGGAAAATGAATTGCTCAGGACTAAATACTGGTTGGGGGAGGAGTGTGTGGAAGGATAGGTTGGCTTCAAAGTCTTTGTGTGTTATACATTGTCCTTTGGCAAGGACATTGTTGGGGAAAGTGAGATAAACAGGGACTAGTCTTTGATTCACATAAACTCAGCCAATTGTGGGTCAGGAGCACCTGCATCTAGATCCTTGGCCACATTAACAAGTAAACACAAATAGTACTTGAAACACCCATGCACACATACATATGCGCACACACAAGAGCACAGAAATGGTGGGAAAATGGTGAACTAATGCAGCAGTGGTACTCACTAGATACTACATTGAAAATGATCTATACAACTTGTCAGGGAGGGAGGTTGGAAGAGACAAAACTGGGAGAAATTGAAGGAAGAGGTGACACTGTTCAAAAAGAAATTTACTTATTAACTGACTTATGTAACTATGAACCCTTCTGTACATCACCTATACAGTAGAAAAAATCTACATGAAATACAGGCAGTCTTCCCCCCCTCCCCAGGCTCTAGTGATAGCCCTGCTTCCTTGACTCTAGCTCCTAAGCATTAAAACAATTAATAAAAATATACAGAGTTACCTTATTACCTTTGTGTGTGTGTGTGAGAGAGAGAGAGAGCGAGAGAGAGAGCTAGAAAGAGAGAGAGAGAGAGTAGGGAGGGAGGGAGAGGGAGAGGGAGAGGGAAAGGGAGAATATATGTGTATTTGTATGTGTATGTATGTGTGTTGATCCTGAGCTTGCACTCAGGGCCTGGGCACTGTTCCTGAACTTCTTTGTTTAAGGCTAATGCTCTACCATGGAGCCACATCTCCATTTCTAGCATTTTTTGGTGGTTAATTGGTGATAAGAGTCTCACAGACTTTCTTGCTGGGCATAAGCCACTGGCACCCAGCTCTTATTACCCATTTAACTTCAGTAGCATTAAGTAGATTCATATCACCATACAGGTATTAACCACATCCATTTCTAGAACCTTTCATCTTACAAAACCAGAATTCTATACTTATTCAACACTATCTACTAGCTTCTGTCTATGGAGTAATCTTGCTCCCTTTTCACTTAAAAATATTTGTAGAGTAAAAGTTTTGAAAAAATGATGTTTTAACTTTAAGTTTTTGATGAAAGGAGCACAAAATTACTTCTAGACTCCATGCTTTGCTTCATTCTTCCTTAAAATTTGGGGGTTGGACAACTCTCATTTTTAAGTTTGTTATTTAAAAGAGAGAGAAAAATGTAAAGAGATGTTACTATAAAAATGACAGCATTGGGGCTGGGAAGGTAGCTCAGTGGTAGGGTGTTTGCCTTGCATGTACGAGGTCCTGGGTTTAATTCCTCAGCACCACATAAGCAGAAAAAGCTGGAAGTGGCGCTGTGGCTCAAGTGGTAGAGCGTTAGCCTTAAGCTGAAGAGCTGAAGGACAGTGCCCAGGCCGAGTTCAGGCCTTGCTACCGACCAACCAAAAAAAAAAAAAAAGCCAACATAGCTTAATATGCTTAAAATGCCAACATTGCTTTGAAGGCCATTGACAGTAATTGAAACGTTTTGGTTGGCTCTTCAATAAACCTGGGTAACATGAAAATTTCCCTGATCATGTCTATTGGGATGGATACCTTGAGAATGTGACACTGATTCCTTGCTCCTGCCAAGGCCATCTTGCCTTGTGAATGTTCCTACTCATTATATGTCAGACACATTTAGTAAGCACTTGAATTATCGTATCTTAAACAGTAATCTGAACAATATAGAAATACATATATAATAACCATATATTATCTCACCATTACCCTAGGAATGGTATTATTACTGTTTTCTTATTTTGAAGACTAGGAAACAGGCTAAAATAATTCAGCTAGTTAATTGGGGATCTGGAATTTCACTTTGGGACAGCTTCTCTGTTATGGAGTCCATGAATGGAGACAATTGTATACTACTTATTTTTCAAAATTCTGCATTCTTCAACTCTTTATCTCTATTGACTCTTTTTACTTTGTCTCATTGTATTCTATTGGTTAGATCTGTTTTTCCTTGTTTTTATTTTCTTATTGAACTAACCTTTGTTTTTCTTTATTTTTCTTTTCTAACAAAATTATCTTAGAAAATATGGCCAATACTAATTCAGTAAGCTTGTCTCTAAGGAAATTGTTGACTGGGCAAAAAAGCACATAAAATTTAAAGACATGGGATCTTTTTAACTATGGGAATAACCTTTTCTTCTAACTTGTAAAATGTGTTCAATGATTTTATGTCATAAATTTTGACAGAAAATTACATAGCTTGATTTGATTTATGATGTTGTATATACCATTATGTTCAACATGCATAATTATAAACTTTAAAACTCTCTCATGAAATGCTTAAGAATATTATTTGCCTTTAAACTTCAGAACAATTGACAACAGAGTTACACTAGATGTCTATAACATGTAATTTAATTATTGGGAAACTTTGCCTCCTATGTAGCTTTTTAATTTTAATTTTTAAGTAAGTCTGCCAATATGGGTACCATTGTTTCCCTTATTTAAAATAATTAGTATATGTCTAGGATAATCTTAACAGATGAGCAGAAAAGCTCAAAAGCTATGTACATATGACCATATACACTGATGATAAGTGAAATGAACCCCAAAATATGGATATAAGAGGTTTTCCTTTGTTGTTGTTGTTTTTAATGTACTATGTGGTTTTTCTTTGTTTCTTTTCTATGTTCTTGCACTTATGGTATATCTCTGTTGTCAGTGTATTTGATTTTGGTACCTTGTACCTTGTATATGCATTTATATAATTTTGGGAGGAGAAGGGGAATAACAAAATGCTGAAACAAGGACACGGGATTACCCATTGCAACAATGATACTCACACGACACTAGGTTGGAAATGAACCTTACAACCTTTGGGTGGGGGGTGTGGAGAGGAGGTAGGGAAGGGAAGGGAGAGCAGGAGAAAAACAAAGGAGGGGGTAACAATGCCCAACAATAAATGTACTCATTAACTTACAGATACAACCCTGACCTCTCTGTACAGCACCTTTACAAGAAAAAAAATTTTTTTAAAAAGAAGTCTGCCCAGCATAGGTAGTTCTCACTTGTAATCCTGGATACTCAGGAGTCTGAAATCAAAGGATCGTGGTTTAAAGTCAGTCTGGGCAGACAAATTCAAGAGACTCTTAACCTCTAATTAACCAACAAAAAGCCAGAAATGGAGATGTGGCTCAAGTGTTAGTGCACCAGCCTTGAGCAGAAAAGTCAAATGAGAGTATGAGGCTCTGAGTTCAAGCTCCAGTACTAGCACAAAAATAAAAACCTGTAGGTGTACAAGTGTGAAAGAGAAAATGGGACAGTAGTTTCAAAAAGTATACTTAGTTATTTATTTTATGTCATTCTTTTTTAGCCTTGAAGATGTTGTAAAGGATTTTATTCGCCTCTTGTTAATATAGACTTTATATTAATATAGAATAATACAGTGTTAGCTAGAAAAGCATATTAAAATTATACTTTTTGTTTTGAAAAAACCAAGTTACTAGACACATCCTTTAGCCTATATAAGTTTATATCTATATCTATATCTGTCTGTCTGTATATGTGTATGTATATGACTACAGAAGAATATTATATAGTGTTTCTGGTTTGGAATATATTTTTGCACATATGAAAATGTCTAGAAGACATTCTGTCACATTTAACTATAACCATGATTGTTTCCAAGGAATATAACTGGGGTTGGGTATGGGAAACAAAGAGCTCTCCTACTTTCATTCTAAGTATATCTGTATTGTTTGAATTGTTTTTCACCAAATATAAGTAGCTTTTGCAAAACAATACTTCAATGAAAATAATATTAGCTATAGTAATTTGTGCATGTATTTCAGTTCCCCAGCCTCCCAGACTAGAACCTCAGGAATTGAATTCTGCCACCAGCACCACAATTGCAGTTTATTGGAGCATGAACAAGGAAGATGTTGTTGACTCATTCCAGGTTTACTGCATGGAGGAGCTACAAGATGACCAAGAATTCAATGGTAGGATTGCTAGCACAAATACTAATACAGGTGTACCTCTGCATCTTCAGGTGACGTATTTAAATAGATATGTATGTACACATACCAAAATACCCACAAAGCATCGGTAGCCACTTACAAACAACAATAGCAAAAGACTGTCAACAGACATAATGATAAGGATCAAAGGAAAGAAAAACATACACCTGTCTTAAAAGCCAACCTAACTATCATAATTGAGATTCAGACTTGACTTTGAGTTCTCAGAATAACAGCAGCAACTAAGTGATTCTCATTTCCATAAGGAGGAAACATAGCAGAGTTTTAATCAATAGGAAGCATGAAAGACAATGTTACATGTCCCACTTTGTAGAGGAGAAAGAAACTATGTATGGAACAATGTCAACACAATGACTTTAATACACATACAGCACTGGATGCCCTGGTTGGCCTGTTCTCAGGTCTGCTAGCTTAATAAAGGCTACAGACCAACCAGATAGGTTTATTTGGTGTTCATAATCCTCAACACATGGTCCTAGGAATGGTGAAGTTATTCAGTGTCTCAAATTAATGTGTGAATAGAAGAGAGCATATTCTCAGCAGCACTTCTGACCGGAACCAGGAGTCAGGCAGCTTGAGATTGTACTTCCTGATGAATCAGAGCTGGGGCGGCTGACATTCTGTGCGGCTTGTTGAAGACAGACCCACACACTTTGGAAACCAGATGCGCAGGACTAACATCCTATTACAAAACTCAGGAGCTCTATTTGTAATCAAGAAGGAATTATAACATATTCCACTGTTTAAAAGACTTAAGTCTTTTGAAATTGTGATAGTTTAGGAAAAAAAGGTGTTTTTTTTAAAAGCTTATTGTAAAGGTAATGTACAGAGGGGTTAGAGTTACATAAGTCAGGTAATGAGTACATTTCTTTTTGAACAGTATAGGAAAAAAAGTTTTAAAAAAGCTACTGTATGTGTAAAGTTCGTCTATGTCTTTTTGAGAAACTATTGCCTTATGCCTGGAACTACACATCAAAATAAGTGTTATACTTCATTTGCAAAGAGAAAATTGAAGTGAAGATAAGTAATTTGTCCAATGCCACATAACTTGTACGTGTCAGGGGCAAGACTTAAACATTAATCTTTCAGATTTATGAACAAAAGTTGATGTTTTTGTTTATCTCTGTGTTTATTTTGTTTTGCCATATTTTGCTTACCGTCATCCCTAACCCAAACATTTCCCTGTTGGGTGTCTCATGGTTTCATGCCTTTAACTGTGCTGATAACAGCCAGCTGTCTGATGATCTACCCTCGGATGCCATGCTGTGTGTGATAAGGTCTTCAGTAACATGTGCCATGTGGATTTTTAACAGAAGTGCCTAAAGGAATGACTCCAGTGCAAACTGTAGCCACAGTGTCTGGGCAATGGGGAATATGTTTTTCAGAGTCTTAGTGGTGTTGGTCAAATGGATCTTTATGTTCTCTAAAAGGAGGTGATTGAAGAATTTGGATAGGTTGGGGCCCTAATTTTCTTTTAAGGAAACAGTTGGGTTCTTCACTGAAGAAATTTTAAGAGGTGACTTTCAGAACCAATAAAAGTAAATAACTGAAGTCACTATAGACTATTTTAAAAAATTGTTCTTTTTTAAAAAATGTTCTTTTTTAAAGGGGAGAAAAATTTAGTAGTAATAATCAAGTTGGCTCAAAAGAGCAGGTATACAAAATAGTATTGAGTTACATTTACTGTAAAAATATAAAAAGTAAGATAATTGAACAACTTTTGAAAGGAAAGTATCTTTATTGAACAAAGTTACTTAGAATAGCATATAACCTATCAATCTAAGCATTTCTATAAGCTATGAAAATCCTTAGTTGAAAGAATTCAGGAATTCATAAGAAAGAACCAGGATTTGAAACCTGGAAAGTCATAAGAATGCAAATATTGTTTACTAATCATCAACAATGCTTTGTAACCTGCAGTTCTTTTTTTATGATATACTCTGATGAAATGCTGGTACTAGCTCTTAAGAATTTTCTTGAAGATATGTTACTGAAATCTAAACTAGCATTAACTATGAAATTTTAATATTTGCTATTGAGATAAGTTACTTTAATTGTGCTATTTGAAGCTCAGCATCTTACAAATACATTATTATTAATTATTATTTTGTGATAAGTGTTCACAAGTAATACCGTGTCTTTTTTGTTTGGAAGTCTTGGGGCTTGAACTCTGTTCCCGAACTTTTTTGCTCAGGGCTAATACTCTACCACTTGAGCTAAAGATTCACTACTAGTTTTTGGGCTTTTTTTGGTGGTTATTTGGAACAAAGAGTCTTACAAACTTTCCTGCCAAGGCTGGAAAGTTAGGATTATAGACATGAGCCACAGGCATCTGGAAATACTAAATCATTGTGAATATCTTTTCAGACTTCTATTGCATTCTTATGTATTTATTCTAAAGAGCTAGTTATTACATAATTTAATTTGTAAGGTCTTTTTTCCAGTGGAAAAAAAATCATATTATATTAAAAAAATTGTAACATCTAGTTAACTTTGAAGGGCACCTTAGAGTTTATGGTTGTGTTTTATTCTAGAATTGGTAGAAGAATACAGATTGACAGTGAAAGAAAGCTACTGCATTTTTGAAGATTTGGAACCTGACCGATGCTATCAAGTCTGGGTAATGGCTGTGAACTTCACTGGATGTAGCCTGCCTAGTGAAAGGGCAATTTTTAGAACAGGTAAGGATGGGAGAGGGGTTTATGAGACAATACTCTTGAGATCAGCAAGTAAGTATGGATGAGGCACCTGTTGTATGTGGAGCAAAATGCTGGGTATAAAATAATGAGAAAGACTGAGCTCCTATTTACAAAAGCTCAGAAGCTGCTAGAAAAAAATCACAGAAAATATTGATAATAATCCAGATACAAGTTATTATGAGAGCAATCTAAAGGGGGACACAGATGGTCACCAGAGGGGCAGCATTAGGAACGGCTTCCTACAGCTGATTCCTATAGAAATTGCTTTAGAAGATCAGTAAGAAGTAATACATTATTGGAGCATATTTCATTTGGAGAAAGTGTATGAGTAGAGACACTGAGGTTGGAAATGGTAAAAAACATATAGGGCAGCTGGGCGCCAGTGGCTCACGCCTGTAATCCTAGCTACTCAGGAGGCTGAGATCTGAAGATCACAGTTCAAAGCCAGCCCAGGCACAAAAGTCCGTGAGACTCTTATCTGCAATAAACTACTCAGAAAATGGGAAGTGGCTCCATGGCTCAAGTGGTAAAGAGCTTGCCTTGAGCTGAAGAACTAAGGGACAGCACCCAGGCCCAGAGTTCAAGCCCCATGACCAACCAAAAAACAAACAAACAAAAAAACAAACAAAAAAACATATAGGGCACTATAAAGAAGTGTGCTATTACTTTTTAGACTTAGAAATAAGGAAAGATCAGTAGAAAAAAACCAACAATATGGAGGCTGTATTTACAAAACAAGAAGGCTGGGTTTTATTGTATAGGTGCTAGGAGATAAGCAATTATATTCAACTAATGCATGTTGTCATCTTTTCATAAGGGGCTGAAGCAGGAGACATAGACACAACTAGCTGCATTGGTTTTAAGATAATTGTAGTTGTCTCAGAGAAGAATTAGCTTGCTCCTGCCCTTTACAACTTTATCCTTTCATCTTGCTTTTGAAATAATTCTGTATTGAGCACCTACTGAAGACAAGATCATGACTATCTTTTGTGCAAAGATAGACGGGCAAGGATTTTTTTTGTTTATTTATTTACATGTCCAGTAAATGTATAAAGTGGAGCAGGGTTTACTGTAAGCCTATATTAGAGGCTATATGGGGATGGATTAAAAACTCTTCCACTTAGAAAGCAGAGGAGAGAGGGAGACTATTAGCTATATACACTTTTTATCTCCTTTGGGTTTTTAACACAGAATGAATTTTCAGATAAAAATTACTTTATTCATCTCAGTAAATTAATAATAAAAGTGTTTAAAATAGCTGGGATGCAGGTCAGTGGCAAAATGCTTACCGAGTAAGTGCAATGTCCTGGGTTTGATCCTCAGTACCAAAAAAAAAAAAAGGACAAAAACTACAGTTTAAAAAGTGTTAAAAATAACATCATACCTAAGCCTTCTTCCCCAGCAGCAGGGAAAGCAAGCCGACATTGCTAGCGATTGCTTTGCTTCTCTCTCTGCAGCGCCTTCCACCCCTGTAATTCACGCTGAGGACTGCACTGTGTGTTGGAACACAGCCACCATCCGATGGCGGCCTGCTAACCCAGATGCCACAGAGACTTACACTCTAGAGTACTGTAGACAGCACTCTCCAGAGGGTGAGGGTCTCAGGTAAGAGTCCTTTTCCAGAAAGAGACATCCCAGAGCTCTAGAAAGCAAGACATCCCAGAACTCTAGGAACCAAATTCCAGACTCATAGCTAATCTCTGAGCTTGTGCTCACCAAGCAAGAAAAGCATCTCCAAATCCTGCAGAGGTAATTAAGCTGTGGACTTGATTTACAGCTCCATCACTATTCATCAATGAACTGCATGTTTGTAATAAAATCCACTCTACAATGCAGAATAATAACTCCCTTATAAGAAAATGTATGTGAACTTTAATAAGATAGAACATTCTTTGAGGTATATTTAACTTGAGTCATTAGACAGGATTTATGCATATTTTATGTACTTTTTACTGGCACTATCATAATAGGTACATGTAACTCAGGAAACTAATAGTGAGCTTGTGTATAATGCAAATCAGAATGTCTCCATGATATATTGGTAACATAAATGAGCTAATTACGCTTTTATTATTACAGAGACATACCTGCCTCTGCAAGGTATTGAGAGGATTCTTCTAGTAAAAAAGAAATGGGAAGTTCTCTCACTAAAATGATGAAGCTAAATTTTATCAATAAAGGTCCATGTAATCACTAGACACTTAAAAGTGCTAGCCCACCTATGAGATGGTTTTCCAAAGTCCCAATGATAGAATAACTTCACACACCATTATGAATACTCATGTTTTGAGATACTTAATTTTTCTTTCTAAACAAATTTACTGAGATAAACTATTTTGGCAGGATATGTAAATTAGAACTAATGATATGAAATGAGACAACATTTTAATGAAGCATATTGTCTGACCTCTTGATTATCTTCATGATCAATCTACAGCTATTTATTTAGCTATGATATGAGGTTTCATATGACTGAGCAATAATTATAGTTTCTTTCAAGCTGAAGACAGACTTCACAAAGAAATGATCAAATTGGGTTGGGTGGGTGTGTACGGGTGGGATGGAGGCATTTTAGCCGAAGTGAGAATGTGGTAAATGTATAAGAAAATACCCTGGACCTTGTGCAGAGCCCCTAGATACTATGAGAATATGATTTTATGAGTGTGTGAGTTGTATAGAAATCTCCCCCAGTATCAGCAAAGAAAGCCTAGCTCTCTCTGAGGCCAGCTCAGACTGTTCATGAATGTTCTGAAGTGAATCATCTTTTATGGCAGCAATTCCCAGCTGGCATTTGCATAAATCATATCAGCACAGTTGGATACTTAAATCAGCAGGAATCTGGAAACCTTGAGACTTTGTAGCCAACTCACTGAGGGAGCCGAGATATCATCTCATTATTATAATTACAAGGAGAAGGGAAAGGGAAAACAAAAGGGAAAAGGTGTCCACTGAAGGCCTTCACATGCCAGGAATTATTTTTACTCTGTTAATCCTCTCAATAATAAAAGAAGGTAAGTGGTGATCTCTGTTAAGCTAGACTTCAGTGAGTTGGCCAAGGTAGTAGATGATGGAGAGAGAGTGTAAGGTAAGGACTCACATCCAGGTATATCTTATTCTTATAATGTTGTCATGACAATGAGTTAGCATAGTCAACAGCCTGACAGCTGGGAATTACCAGGTTGTCTTTGATTTCTTTGTTACATGAAAAACAGATAATAGGGAATGCAACACATTCAAACCCCCTTGATTTTTCCTTTGCCCAATCATCCTGGGGCCTCAAAACTATAAAAGGTGGGGACATTTGATATCAATAATCCATTCCAAATAAATCCTTCTACCAAAGCCAAAGAGATCAATCATAGCTCCATTTGTAGGAAAATCAAATGGCCATTCACCAGTTTCATCAAAGCTAATGTAGGATTTATTGAAACAAAAAAACTTGTCATTAGTTTATTCTATTTGAGACTTTTCTATCAAGTTCGATTTTATTACATTGCAAAAGAGTGTATGAGGAGCTGAAGTTTATACCAGTGGTAGAACAATTCAGGGTCCATTGTCATATACTGCATGTAGTTCAATAAGTTTAAAAGTAAGGGAAGTCCCACATGTGGGGCATTCTTTAGAGTTTGGATCTGTGTTGAAGATGGGGCTATTTTCCAATTAGATGCTCAAAGACTCCTTGGTACCAGGAAATGCAATGGCATGGCCCATCCGTAGCTCAGTGCTGACTCTTTAGCTCCCTGCTGAGTCTGACTTTAGATAAATTTTTGAAACGAGCAAAATTTTTTTGGCCACAAATTGTTACCTTGATTATCTGCCAGATCTACTGTTGATGCACTGTATCAGAGTCAGCCCTCATCAGCACAAGCCTCTCAAGTCTTGTATTCCAGGCTGGTCTCAATAGATGGTGAAATAATTAATCTGTAATTCCAATACTCCAGAACTGAAAAAACCATTTATGTCTTTTGGTTCTCTGGTCAAAGGGTTTCAGAGGGAAGGGAATTCTGCTCTCTTGAAGGGGCCATGGTTTTATATGTTTGAACCATCTGGTTAAAGCTGGTTCTCACAACCAGCTTTAGAAGATCTCATTATGTATGGCATTTTGAAACTCTCTAAAATATGATTCCCCTACAATCTCTATAGCTCAGTTATAATCCTATTTATCTACTGGTTTTATAACTCTTATAAAAGTTTTTTCCTTGGAAAATCCTATACTAAACTAGATCCCAAAATTGATTCACTCCTAAAATTGATTAGGAGGGGAGCAAGGAAGATAAAAATTATCTAGACTAAGAAGCAGGTAAGGATGAGGAACTTATCTGTGTAGGTCCTCCACAATGGTTTGTTACATATACCAGTGAATGAATGGAATTGGCCAACCTCCTTTTGATATAACTCACTTTGTGAACCTAATTGGCTAAGAACTGTCCCTAAGCTAAAGAGAGAGGACATAAGAATTAAATGATTCCCCCTCTTTTCTCCACCACTAATCCCTGATAAAAATGGGCGGTCTTAAAAACTATGATCTGCTGGGCACTGGTGGCTCATGTCAGTAATCCTAGCTACTCAGCTGAGACCTAGAGAAAAAAATTCTGTGAGATTCCATTTCCAATCAACCAGCAAGATGTGGGACCTGAAGTCTGGCTTAAGAGGGAGCAAGCCAGCAGGAAACAGTGAGACAGTGGGGCTCTGTGTTCAAGTCCCAGTACCAGGAAAAACAAAACAAAACAAACAAACAGAAACCTGGTCTGCTGTAGGAAGGGCAGTTAAAAGGAAATGAAAAAGGAAAATAGGATGATTGATACACACACACACACACACACACACACACACACACACACACACACACACACACGAGCTATGACATTGATTGTCCTTTAGAATGGGGAATCTAATTTTGGTTGCCAGAGCAAAATCAGATCATCTTCAGACCTGAATTCATTCTTCTGGAATGATGGCCTCTAGATGTTCCACTTTAAGAATAAAGGTCCTGGTTGAACTCTTCCGGTGGGTGTTTGAATGAGGCAAGCCTACTCTGCCCTCAAGTTCCATGACACAGTGTCTGAAATAGCTGAGCAATTGTCTCTTTCATAATCCATACAGAAATTTGCATATTTTGGCGTGTGGGCATCGAGGCTCCATCCCAGCAGTTGGTCCCTGTGGGGACTGGGGGTGGGCGGGAGTGACAATCCTCAGTTTGTGTGTGGGGGCCCAAGGGAGCTCCTACTCACCCTCTTCCTGTTTTTCTTTGAATGCTCTCCTCAGGTTGGGTGGGCTCAACACACTTTCAAAATTTTTCCACCGCTCGGCTGTTTCCTCAGCTGTTCTGTCTCTCCTGTGTGAGAGAAGTCAGCAGAAGTGTGGGTGGAGGAGGGAAAACTGAGAGAAATATAGTACAAGGATTAGCTGTGTGGGCTGTGCAGAGAAAATCTGTGTGGTGAATGACAAATCTGTGAGACTCAATACTCCACAAGGCAGGCAGGAATGAGCCTCTTGTTCCCTGCTCCCTGGCCCCTGAAGAGGCTGTGAGGTTGGGAGACCCTCCCTGTTCTGTCTTCCAGGCTGAGCCTTCCCAAGAGAGGTCAGCTTCTAGGCGCTGGGCTTGTCCACATTGTCCTCTGTGCCTAGCTTATGGGTCCACTGGTTGAGGAGAAACAGAATTGCCTGGTAAAGCAGGTAATGTGTATATGCTCTATGTGGGGGTACCTGCCGTTCCCTGTACAGTAAGGACAAGTAAAGATGTGTTTCCTAATGAACTTTCTTTTTTTTTTTTTTTGGTCCGGTCGTGGGGCCTGAACTCTTGGCCTGGGCGCTGTCCCTCAGCTCTTCAGCTCAAGGCCAGCACTCTACCACTTGAGCCACAGTGCCACTTCCAGCTTTTTTCTTTTTGCTTATGTGCTGATGAGGAATCGAACCCAGGGCCTCAGGCATGCAAGGCAAGCGCCCTACCACTGAGCCACCTTCCCAGCCCCTCCTAATGAACTTTCTGCCTAAATCAAGTGTGGAGAATCTCTGCACTTCTTGCTCTTCCAAAAAAAAAAAAAACCCAAACTCACAATAACTTCCTTATTAAGCCTTCAGGTGGATGCATAGGTGCTGACTGACCAGCAGTAGCTGCAATGTGTGGGTAAAGAAGGCAGCTTGCTCCCAAGGATGACAGGAGAGCCCAGATGCATTGAGTACTGAAGAGCTAATTGCCGTCTATGTGGTAGTGTTTGCCCGCACCAGGTTAGGAGCTATGTGCAGGGAGCTATGTGCAGGTGACGTCCCTCTGCATTCTTGGCATCCAGCATTTTCTAAATGAATTCTTCCTAAATGAATCCAACTTGACTTTGGGCTTTAGAAGTCACATCCATCTCCTGGTTGTACAGGAAAATCCTCAGTCAATGGAAACACAACCTGTTCCTTCAGTTGGAACTTAGACTCTGTCACTTTCTTACAGCATCCAACTTGTTCACAATAAAAGACCTAGACATAATAGAACTGCTCAAACAGCCCTGTAAGAATAAGAGACGGATAATGCAGAGGTGAGGAGACTTGTATCAGGGAGCTCAGGGTGAGAACAGTACCTCAAGGGAACATAAAATTCAAAATCTGAATGTCTT